GTCATATCGTTGATTTAATAAAATTTGAACATCCAAATAAAGCATGCAAATTGAATATACACTTACTTTATTTTATTTTTCAACTCACAGGAAATGACTAAAGAATACACAGTTGGTAGTGATAAGACTTGACATAGCATCGAGAACAATTTCCTTTTCTAAAATTTTAAGTACTATGCACTTAATTTATTCTGTTCTGTTTTTCTAACGTCAATTCATTAATCTTTAATCTAATCGTGTAAAATGTATTATTCTACGAGGTAAACTTATACAGATATTTATTTAAAAAAACACTTTTAGAAATAAGAAATATCATGTATCTAATTATTTCTTGTTTCATTCTCTTTGAAATATCTTGAACACAAATTAGAAGATCTTTCATTTTTTTTCGTTTTCATTCATAAATATTTTTTAACATCATCAGAAAATACATTATTTCAGATAACACAGATAATTCTATTACTAAGCATCAACAATTGAAATAAATTAAAAATGATAGAAAATATTAATTGTATTTTTATTAAGATTGATGCCTATCAATATACATTGTAGGCGTGATATATATTTATGGCGACTGATGCATTACATTGAATCATGTTCATTTATTCCATAAAAGCATAACAACTATGTAGTATTCAACTTCAAACATTTATTATGGGTGTACTCATTACATGAATATACACATACATAAAAGCAATCTATTACAGCTGGTTAATATCATCATGAACTACATTGACAACATCAATTATGCATTTTTGACCAATACATATATATATCATAAAAACTATGTAGAACACGAATCATTTTTAAAGTTATAGATATGATAGTAGTATTTTGAAATCAATGATCTCTAATAGATATGAGTTATTTGATCGCAAACATATTTATTTTGTTTGTCATCATAAAAATTTATTTTGTATAAACAAGAAGTGCTATATATTAACATTCGAATATGTATTTGTGATCATTAATGTCACATAATTGAATTGTTCAAGTTGAAAAAAAGTTCATTTACCATAAAACAAAGATCATACAGTCTATACAGATATAGACACGTATAGGAAAATCAATTTTGCATTATTTTATCATTTCTCATTTTTCCCAAGTAAAAAATCTAATGTAACAAGGTTCTATCAATTGACAAGCGACACAAACACTCTGTGTTACAAATACGAATTAATAGCTTTTATCTCTTGTTTCAAATTACTTTCTCACACTGCAAAATAGTGTTCTTTTAATTAAGTTTTCCATAAAAAAAGTGATTTTTGACAACACGTGTAATTTTATTGGTTTCATGACTCTTTTTCCAGTTACAAAGTGACTTAATTGAAATAAAACGTGTATATTTGCAACCAGCACATCAAACTCTGCCAAACCTCATATATAAAAATAAGAATACAATTCATTTGAATTTTGCGTTTCACACACATTATTTATTATCGATCCATGATGTCTAATTTTTGTTTAGCTTTTTCATAACTATTAAATTCATCTAGTTGTTGAGTGAGTGTAAAGATAATAGTAATACTAGGAATAATTCCACTACGAGTAACTTGATTTGGTTTTTTTCAATTTTTTGTTCATGCCGATTCTAGATCAAAAAACTATGCGTATGTGTTTGTGTAGCCTTTTGACGACGAAAAACGTACGTATACATTTTAAGCAATTGCATGAATTTTAATTTGTACGATGATCTATCTTCACTAGACCATAACAGTATTCTTTCTTCTCGTTAATTGGCTCGTATAAAACGACCCCATCGTATGATACAATTATATATGCATGTTAAGAGAAAACTAGGAAGTTTGAATCTGAAGGTACTTGAGAATCCATGAAATTTCTATATTGAAAATCTTTTAAAACAACATGAATTCAAACAGAATTCCATAATATATCGTAGGATCTCACAACCATAATTGCTCAATGGGACTGTTGCTACTACTTAAAGTTCTAATCCTACAGACTATCAGATGTTAGACTTTACAAGATCTGTGTTATTATGAAGAATTTCGAAGTTCTTCATGGAACCAACTGTAAGATTCTGTGTAGTTCTACACTTGACTTAACAATTCCAGAATTTGATAGAGTTTGATGATTCTTCACGAAATTTACTGTTTCACTTGGGATATGTGTTCTATCTAAGGCTTTTATGTAAACAAAAATCACAATTTTCACATCTCTTTAAAAAATAAACTTCGTCGCCAAAAGGTTAATGTAGAAATGGTGATAACCAATATCTTTGTAGGTTTTCTTATGATGTTAATTAGAATTCGTCGAATCAAAATGATAGGCGTGTTCGCTGACATAGAAACAAAGTATTGTAGACTTATAAGATATTATTTTCTTTGTAGTCTTGTTTTGCACATTTATTGATACAGGTTACTCTATTAACTCTTGAGGAATGTATGATAACATCGAAACAAGTTAATATATTTACTTAAAACATAGATTTACATTTACTTTGCTCTGATGATTTAAGTCTTTGATATCAACAGTTCATTGATTATTGATCAGAGTCTTAGTTTATTTAAGTACCAAAGATAACAAATGAAAACATTTTTTTTTTCAAAACAAAACAACAAAAACAACCATATAACCAATATTTATTTCGTTGTCGATGAGTTCATTTGTTCGAAAATTTTCAATTGTTTATTTTTTTCATTTTTCAAACTGCCCAAATTAGATTCATATTTTCTTCGTTTATTAAATCCACGTGTTTGTCGTTCTTCATCAACTACAGCACGTTCTGAAAATTGACCCATACTTGCATCAGAATATTTTGCTGTTGCTAAAGCTTTTTTCACCTTAAAAAAAATAGAAAGAAAATAACAAAGGAATTTCTTTCTAACAATGAAATCTTTACTCACATCATTAGTTGATGATTTTTTATTAATAATAGCACCATCATTTCGAACTAAAAATTTAAAAAAAAAATATCCGTCATGTATATTTTATTTAATGTTTATCATATTTATTGATTCAAAAAACCTCTCTTGAACCATTTATTTAAAGAGTTCTATGTCATGATTAGTAGAATTCTAATCAATTTCATAAAAAATTAATTTAACCTTGATTTTTATTCACATATCTTTTATCAACATCATTTAGTTTTTCATTTCCCTAATAACCAATAGTTTAATATTTGATTCTGGAAAAAGATTAATATATCTTCCACCTGATAACAATCATAACGTTCTATGATACGAGTGAGGTAAGTGAAACGTCAATTATATGAAACAGTAATATATCTAACTCTGTACACTTTACCAACGAATAGTTTACTTCTATGAAAATTCTCTTCACGAGTGATAATCTTCATGTGAGTGAACTATCGGCACATACAACTTGGTTCTTCCATTTCAATAAAAAATTTAAAAAGAAAGTCAGAAAAAAATATTTACTCAAAATAATGTTTCGTATCTGTAGAAAAAGTTTCCGTTTTATGCGATGTATTAAGTGTAAGAAAGGAGGAAGAAGTCATTTTTAATCTTTGTGACCTCTTAGTATTTCCTACCGGAAAGCATTTAGAAAATTTAAGTCTATCAAAATTTTGATTCTACTTACAAAGACCTATCTGCTTTAAAAATTTTAGATTTTTCCTATATAAATAAATGAACATTGTCTTTCCCTTACCGTTTATTTTATTTCCACGAGCAATATTTTTTAAACGTTGAAATTCATTTTTTGCTACACGTTCTTTTTTAGCTGATAAACGTTTAGCAAATTGATCTTCATTTGGATCTGAATAGATGAATAAGTAAATAAATAAAAAGTAAATAGAAAAATAGTTTTATAACACACCAGCACTATTTGGTACTTCAATAAGCCAAGGTTTTGAATCATCATTTGCTTTTTTAAAACCATAACGACGACCCCATTCTTTTTTCGTTTCATCCCAAACGAATTTACTCTTCTTTCGTTTGACAATACCTTTACTTTGAGCAAATTTTTGCCATTTAGTTAAAGGTTTTGGTTTAGGAATCTAAATTACATATTGATTTCTTTATTCAGAAATTGAATCAAATTGTAAACGAACTGGTTTTTCTCGTGGTACAATTGTTTTTGGGTCTGGTAGTTTTGCAACAATAGCATTGTCATGGCGTTCGATAGGTACCTAGAATGAAAACATTCGAATTTCTTACACCAAAGAAAAATAGAATTAACATACCTGCCATAAAGCATTGACAAGTAATTGCATGTTGTCACGCATGGTATTTTTAATATATTCATCTCGGTTTTTTCTAAAGTAAATAATAATTTTGGTAATTCAAGTTGGTAAAAATACTCAATTCGAGAATGAATAGCTATAGCAAAAGTAATATCTCGAAGGAATAAATTTTTTGAAATCATTTTCTTAATAGATCTTTATATATTAATTTATTCTGCCTAGAATACAAAAAACTACTAGTGGTACTTTTTTTTTTTAATAATACAGATCATATTTTAACTAATCAGAAGTAGAAAGTCATAATTGAAAAATATTTTTCTGTTATATTCAATTTCGAAATAAGTATTACATTTGATAAAAAGTTTTCAAACATAAATTTAAGAAGTTATGTTTTTTTTCTTTTTCTTTTGAATAATTAATTACATACTTATATGCTTGTTGATCAATAATATTCGAATCCCAAACCAATAAATTACCAAGATCGATATCAACAGGACATGGTTTAATAACTTCTGTTGATTTTAATATTCTATCCTGTTCATCAGTATCACGTTTAAGAATATTTTTAACAAGATCGTTTGAATTCATGATCTGAAATGTCAAAAAGAAACCACATAAAGCATCATGTTTTATCTCATTGTTTTCTTTTTCATCACTTTGTTCTTTATCCTATACAAAATATAACAACGAGCAAACAAAAAAAGAAAAGAACAAACGAATATTATGCTCAACACATTATAACATGTGTTTATATACATCCACATACACATAAACAAACAATAGAAGTAAGAAATTCGTCAATGACAATAACCGGTTTGTTTTATTATTTGTCTTATAACCAAGGATAATAGAGTGGATTGAGACGTGAAAGTTGATTTATATCTGTCGAGTTTTCTACAAGTTCAGAAACTATTCTTTTTGATATATCAATATCAGTAAATTCTAAATTGAAAAAAAACATAAAATAATAGAGAAAAAAAAATGTGTGTATGTGTAAACATACGGTTTAGCTTTGTTTCTAATTGACGTGCAATATTTTCGACTAGTTCAACACATTCTTTCTGTGTTAATTCTGGATGCTAAAATAGAATAGATAAATACATTTGAAATATGAAACAAAAAATTTTTAGAGAGATTAAACAATGACAAGGACACGGAAGATGATGTTGTGCGAAATTGAAATACATACTTTCGTTTCTACAGAAAATTCGACTTTTAAAGACACCGTTATTTTTAAATAAAGAAGGAAATAGACCCGAAATGCCAACTTTCATAAAAATTCTTTTTGTTTTGTGTAACTCAATGGACTCTATCCAACGATGGCAACAAGAGAAAAGTAAGTTCTACTGAAGTTCTGAATTATTAGTTTATTTCATGCACTATAAATTCGAGTATATCAGTCCGTGTACGCCATCAGCAGTTCATACTTTAAATTTATTAATTTGTACTTGAGGTTTCTTTTTTGTAATCATAATCTGTTAAATGTATGGATTGTTGTTGGAATATTCGTCATGTCAGTTCTATCGATTTATTAAAAACACATACGATTTATCAGTAAAAAGATCAGAGACACGTTTTCAATTAGCAAGTGTGGATGTAGATATTAGGCTTTTCTATTCCTGCAGTTGCTCCTACACATATTCAGATTAGAGAGCTGGCATTACTGACTTAATCTCAATATTGCTATCTACAATCTTATCTTCCATATAATTATTGAGGAATTAAAAAAAGATTATGCGTTCAAAATGACTACAATGAAGTAGCTAAACAATAATATGCACAAGCCTTCAAGTAATCAGGAAATGTATTTTTCGGAATCAATGATTTCTTGATTTAATAAAACGATATGGAAAATGTTGTTAACGATATAATAAATAGTTTAATAAGATTACTAAAAATTTATATTAATATGTTCGTGTTACTATCTTATAAACTATTGAATTATGTTCTCATATCTAATATGACAATGATCTTCTCTATAATACAAAGTTATATTGGGTTTTATAAAATACTTCTGAATGAAACGTATTGATGAAACGAAACCAAACTAGTTTATATATGGTACTGATCTATTTCAAATCTAATTATAGTTAAAAAATGAGAACATAATTACTACTCTGAAAAAGTCTTTTTTTTTTGTTGTTAATTAATTCAATTAAAACGGATCTTTGCAATAAAATAATAAACAAATTATTTACTTTTATATGTATATCTTCTTTATAAAATATTTTTAAATATTCAATAATTTGAAATTTAGGTTGTGCTAATGATGTTAATGTTGCTAAAATAGTTGCTATAAATGGTCCCATTTTTCCAAAACGATTAATAAATGTATCAATATTAGGTGTTAAAAATATATTTTCATCTTGTTTATTTAAATTATATTGTAATCTAAGATATAATGGATTTATATTTCCTATTGAACGTTGTATACTTAATTGATTATTTGTATACATATAAAAACCAAATAAATAATTTAATGTTGAATAAAAACTCATTGATATTGTAAAAATTTTTCGAAATGAAAAATATCCAGTTGCATTTGTATATTCATTTAATGTCCATCGATGTAATAAATATTTATTTGAAAAAAATTCATTTTGTATTAATTGATATATATTTAATAAATTATCATTATTATCATCAATTAATTCATAATATTTTCTTATTGGTAACATTAAACGATTATTATATATTTCAATTAAATTTATTGTTAAACGATTATCTTCAATTAAACGTAATGATGGTAAATATGTACATAAATGTGGTAAAAATATTTGCATATGTCTTTTTAATAATTCTTTTTCTTTACGTATACATATATTATTAATCATTTTAAGAAATTGTAATGTATTTTCTTCTAATTCCCATTGAGAATTTATTTTATCATATGATATTGTTTGATAATTATTTGATAAAAGATAATACATTATTTTACCATTATGTGCACGTATTGTTAAACGATTAAAATAACGTTCATGTTTAAATATACGTTCAATAGTTGGAAAAAATTTATTTATACGAAAATAAAAATTTGCTTCAGGAGCATGCCATAATTCACCAGGCATATTTATATCATTTGTTATTTGAGAATTAAATGATAATAATTGTAAATATTTTATTTGATTTAAATATTTTATACGTGGTTCAGTTTGTTCAATACGACGTTCAATTAGAGTTATCCATTTATTGATTAAAAGAATGAATGATCGAGATATTTGAGTAGTATTAAGTACACTAAAAGAGTAAAAAAAACAGAGATGGAATTCGATTTCAGATTTTCAAGTTAGAAAACATAAGAGGAAACTGTCTCGACTGTAAGCCGATGTCTGAGCTTATATTGGATCTACAGAGAGATTTTCATAGTACTTTAAAAATCTAAAATTGTTCATCCCAATTGACCTTTGGTACTGAGATATGGACGTTCTTCTGATTGAACTTTCAACGTGAAATTTTGTACAGAGATAGGTCTAATGACTCTTAGAATATTCTGAAAGTTTTAGCCGAAAAGAATATCTCTGTATCGAGATATGGAAGTTTCAAAAAATAGTCATTTGCTTCGAACATCTCACAAAAATTGAGTTTACTTGAAAACTCAATATTTCAACCGAGGAACATTCTTTATCAATTGAAACATTCAGCATATTCTAAGGATCATCGACTTTATCTTTGGGTAAAAGTTTCAAAAAAAAAGTCCCGTGATTTGGTTTTTCAATATGTGCCTAAAAATCGGTCGAAAAATCAGTAACAACGGCCATTGACAATGCTCAATGTGTATTTTGATTTGATTAACTTCGGATGAATTTTTTTTTGTTTTTCAGTAACTTAAAATGAAAATATTTAGTAAAAAATAGATTTTGACATACGTATGGACATCTAACAATAATGAAATTTTTTTATTCAAGGAGTTACAATTCCACTATGTTTCACTGATAGCTCAAGTATTGTCATCTCACTCGAAATAGAAAATTGACAATATTGTGTTACGTTTGGTACATGATTCCCTTAACGAAAGTTTTCTCCAGTGTGAAGGGGAAGACATAATACAGAACTTTTCGAAAGTCAATAGACTACTTCAATTTAATAGATTTATCGAAATCTTTGGTTTGTCTTGCTATTTCTCTATTTGTAGCTAAAATGAATTATAGAATTTAAAAACTCATTTGAAAAGAAAGCTAATTATCATAGACTAATCATCCTTTATATGTATATTCATTAATATTAAACATGATCTATTCTATTACATAAGTCAACTATTGAGACAAACCTTTCATTGAAATCATTTGAAAATTGTATTTTAATTGGCTGTATATTTTTATATTCATTATTATCATTATTTAAAATATCTTTTAAATGTTGAATAATTTGTTTAACATCTTCAGACAAATCTTTTTTATTTTCAAATAAATCTTCATAAATTTTTCTTTGACATTGATATAAACGTTTAATTATATATTCAAATAAAGTTTCATTTATTGTATTTAATTGTTCAATAATAATATCTAATATTCGTACAATTGTTGGATGTTGTCCAAGTAAAATTTGTTCTAAACGATTTAAATTATTAATTGCTTGTTGTCGATATGATATTGTTGGTAAATTTAAATTAATATCAATTGTTGGTGTTATTGGTGTTGATGGTATTAATTTTTCATCATGTTTATTTTCAATTAATTTTCTTAAAAATTTTTTAATTTGTACATAAACAGCTTGTGGATATAAACGTATTAATTCATTTAATATAGCTAACATACATTGACTTGATTCATTACGTATTAATTTATTCATTATTTGTGGTAACCAAAAAAGCCAATGTTGAACAGGTATTAATGATAAATAACGTTCAATACATATAGATAATTTATTATTATTATTATTTTCATTATCATGTGAAAGTAAATAAAATATTTTTGATAATATTGAACGTGCTTTGATTTCTGTTAAATCTTTACATGCATTTAAATAACAAATTATAATTGATTCATCATCATTGATAATAGATGATTGTTTAAGAAGAAAATCACCCCAATTAATCCATATTCGAGTTAAATTTGTATCTGATAATTGTGTTGCACAACTAAAAAGTTTTTGAGCTTCATCATTACGATTTAATTTTGAATAAGCAACAGCTTTTAACGAATAAAATTCACTCATCATATCTTTATTAAAATATTTTGTATTCGCTTGTTCAATTATATCAAATATATCTTGAATATCATTAGAAGATAATGTTGGAAATAAAACTAAATAACATTTAATTATTTGTTTGATTTTTTGATAACTATCAACGACTGGTACACTTGGTATGACAGTGCCAATTCTAGATAATAGAATAAGATTTATTTTTGAAAAAAAAAACAGTTCAATTGAAAACATTTCAGAACTATTGAAATGAATATGTAAGAAACAGAAATGATATTTTTAAGACAATTTTATTCTTCATTTACATCATGATTTTTACTAATAAGAGAAATATTCCAACTTGAGATATGCAGTATTACCTTAACTTATCTTGTAAAACGAATTCCTCTGCATCTCGTGAAAAGACCGCGTTGGAAAAACGACTATTTTTTGCAAACCTTTTAATTCTCTATTTCACAAAATACCTTTCGTCGTTAATTTTAGCAATACTCTATGACTGACTAATGTAACACTGCAACTGCCAGATTTTTGATCTAGATGTTCTTTTTTATTTCTTATTCAAAGCAGCAAATTATCTAAACACTGTCCATTAGCTTTTGTAATAATAATCGATCGGATATTTTAATCAATTACCATCACTTACCATTACCTTTTAATTTCATTACTTTCCTATATAAATCAACACTCTATAGTTTGAAGAACATGTTTTACGAAACTAAGTTTTCTATAATAGTCACTTATAACCAATAATCAGAGTCTTAGTGAAAAAAGTTTTTTCTAAATTTATCCGCAAACAAGATATTATTTTTTTTTCTGTTTAATTTACCTTGATAAAATTTCCATACAAATATTTGGTATATGATGTTTTCTTGCAATTTTTGCTAATTGTGTAATGGATTGAGCAACAGCATGAATACCAAGTAAAACTTGTCCTGTATTTGTACTTGAATTATTAAGATTATTTCCACTTGATAGATTTGTTCCATTAGCATCTTTATCAAATTGTGAACTAATTGTACTATATTGTATTTCACGCCATGTAAATATATCATTCCAATAACTTAATGGATCATTAATTAATGGTAAACGACTTTTCCATGTTTTAACAATAGTTTTAAATTCATGAATATTTGTTGTTTGTCGAATATTTGTTGTTGTTGTTGATGTATTACCATTTGTTGTTGTTGATATAATTGATGTTGATGTATTATTATTATTTGTATTTGTTTGAATATTTAATAAAATTTGTGCTGATTCTTGTAATTCAATAATACGTTGTGATGCTTGTAATAAATTTAAATGTGAATTTGATATATAATTTGGTAAATGTTTCCATTCTTTTAATGCATTTAATGAACAATAATCAATTAAACGTTCAGTTATATTCATTGTTGTTTGATATATTGTTGGATCATCTGTATTTGTTATTGTTGAACATAATGTTAAATAACAACGATATAATGCAAATTTCCATTGAAAATCTTTTATTGTTAATATATTTGATATAATTGTTGATTGTGTTAATGTTGGATTTGGATTTAAAAATTGAAATGTTTGAATAGATGAATTTGTTAAATTTATATTTGTACCATTACACATAGCATCTAATTGTCCAAGAGTTTCTTTCATTAATGGCCAATTAGATGATCTCCATATACAATCAAGATAAAGTAAATGATCACGATTACTTTGTTGTTTACAATATGACATTAATGTTTCCCATTGATTTAATTCTTTTGTACATTTGATCCAATGTTGTTCAAGAAATGAATATTCATCTACTTGAGAAAATCTATTTAATGTTGATGTTGATGATGACGATGATGATTTTTGATTTGTATCAAGAAGTTTTATTGATTGTGTATAATGTTCAAGTGCTTGTTGAAATAAACCAAGTTGTTCATATTGTAATGCATTTGAAACTAACTGTTTAATATTTGGTGAATATTGACGATGTAACCAAAGACTTATATTATAATCATCTTCATTTAAATGTTCATATAATTCACTGAGAGAATTTAATGATTCAATATAGGTTTCATCATTTGTTAAAAATTCTAAAATAACAGATGAATGTATTAGAGCAAGTAAAACAAAACTAGGTGAGACTGAGCCCTATCATCAGACAGCAGATTTTTATAGTTTTAGAGAAATGAGACCTGCAATGGATGATGTTTTGTCGGCTAAACTACAGCAAGGATATGGATGTGACAGACCTGAGCATGATGATAGCGAAGAAACGACCGATATCCTGCCCTACAGATGTCCACTTCTAGAATCACGTTCATATAGTATGCTATAAAGTGGGTATTAGGTAAAGAACGAAAGTAAAACTTTCATCAATTCGACTGATAGTAAATAGACTTTAAGTCATGTTCTATCTGCTAGTATTAAAGATTTTGTTACCGATGTCTAGTAGAGTAGAAAGCTTGTCTATCGTTAAGAAATATCAAGTTTTTGTGTAAGACTCCAACGATTTGAAAGCGATAGCAACACATATTCAGAGCTGACTCAGTGGTCTTTATCGATTTGTAAGAAAAATTTTAATTTGAACCAATAAATGTTTAAGAAACAAATGAAAATATTTCTCTCGTGATTTTTTCGACTAGCTGAGCTTAGTAAAATCACCGAGCAATCCTTAGATATGAAACAAATGCAACTAAACTTTGTCAAATTACTCATCTATCTAAGCCTTATCGATGCAGTTAGTAGAAACGTTTTTGAACTCAAATATGGAGTTTTCAAGATAATTCTAGGTTAGAAAGATTTTCATTGTACAACAATAGCATATTCGGAATCAGTGCGTGGAACTACACGGAATGATTTTTAACACAAGAGATTTTCTAACCCAAAAAGATAAGGCAAGGATTCTTCTTAGGTGTTTTTCGTTTAGAAAAGAATTTTTATCGTTAAACGTAATTTTCTAGGTGACCTTCGTTTATTTCTGAGCAAAAAAAAAGCCGTTTTCGAAAACAAAAGTTAAATGTCTGACTGAAGTGTGAAAAAAAATACACCCTCTTGAAGTTTTTTATGAAATGAGGATTTCTATTTAATTATAGAGTTCGAATACGCTAGAGTTGATGTATCAAAACACAACAAACGCTGAGAAATGCAGTTGACTTATTCTAATGCCTTCTTTAATAGGTTCAGTTGCATCCACTGACTACATCTTAAAATCATTAATGAATTTCATCACAAAATTAAACCGAAATCTCTTTTTTTTTGATGATTGAGAACTAACTTACCATTATTTGGTTGTTGATCTAATATATATTGTTCAAGCAATAGAATACTTCTATGCCATGTATTATGTGTTTTAGCAATGTATTTAAGTATAATTGGTCGTATAATAGGTACAAATTCAGATAGATTATTATTAGTTTTAAACATAACATAAAAAGCTTCAAGTAAAGTATTTAATGAACTATATGGATATAGATCACGTTGTTGTAAATGTGTTCCACTAACAAAAAATGGTTGAATTATTTGTTGAAATAAAATAATACGATATTTTTCTAATATAACACGAAGAATTCTAGGTAAAAGATCAATAAATAAATAATGTGCTAATTTATCAATAACAATTGAATTATTTGTATGTAAAAATTGTATTATAGAATCAAATAAATCATTTGGTTTTAATTGTATTGATGAAAGAATTTTTAGAAAATTTATTTCATCATTAATTAATTCAGTTAATTTTATTTGATTGCTTGATTCACGTTGAAGTTTTTCTGGAAGTTTATCAACTGATAAACGACGTATATTTTCAAATGATATTGTTCGTTTAAAATGTTTGGCTTTTGATTCATTCAAAGATATTGATGTCGAACGTTGTTTTCTAAAAAAATAATCAATTCATGATTTCTATTTAGACCTCATCAGATCAAACATTTTTGAATTCGGACTCGAAGCGTACTCCTAATTTCAATAGAACTCGTCACATTCTAGCTAGTATTGATCATCCAACGCTTTCCATCTGAGCTGAAATTTTTGAAAAGTCAACTTAATCCTACAGAATATATTCTAAATTATGACAACTTCTTTTCAAATTGAGTGACCTAAAATGGAGTTTTCATAAATCAAATGAATAGAATAAGCAAAGTATTGAGTAATCTTGCTCGTACAAAAAGAGTCGGCCATCCGAACCACTCCAATGATAAGACCTAGTTGCAAGGACTCGTCCATATGAAAAACAGCTCATCACAATTGGTTTGACTTTACTTATATGACTGATTGAGCTACGAGCTATCATGCAAAAGATATTTAGAAACATAGATCTGCGCGAGTAGAACATTTTTCTTCAAAAGACTAAAGTAGTTACTTTACACTTGAAACATATACGTACAAATAATATAGTATTTTATGGTACAGGAAAATCAACTGAAAGAATAATGCATTACAATCAATTATGACTCGTTTTAAATAACTCCAGAACACTAATAGCCACAGACTTTTAGTTTTTACCATTCGAAAGAATAATGTCTAAAATATACACCTATGTAGATATTGCTAGATCAGATCTCAGTCGATTTACTCAAACAAACCTATTCTTATAGAAATTATTTTCTTCACTAAATCTAATTAAAAGAAAAGTTAGCCTTACTTTGTTACAATTGTACTCATTGCAGTAACACCAAGAGCATTTGATATAATAGAATAAGCTGGATTTTGTGTTGATGTTTCATCATTGACTTCCATTTTAATTGTCACATCTGAATTTGGTTCCGTTTTAATTCCAATATTTTCTATAGCTGATGGATTTTTTGTTTTAACATAATCAATCATAAAATCATATCGATCATAAAATTCACCAGATTTTATAACAGATGTTAAGGCTGGTAACACTGATGTACGATTATCAATAATTGATAATGGAATTGTTGATGAAACACATGTATAAAATAACTAAAAGAAGAAAAAAAAAGAATATTTTTCTTTTTTGTATTAAAAATTTTTCATCGACATTACTTCAAGACATTGTTTTATCCAATAGTGTTGTCCAAGATATTCCCAATTTTGTGATAAAAATATAAATAATAATCTATCATGTAATGTTTTTCGTAGATTTTTATCTAAGATAAGAAAAAATTGTTTTCGTAATTGTTGATTTGTTGATTTTAAACCAAGAATAAATGCTGCTTCTAATTTGATACATAGTTCACGATAATTTGATTCTTGATAAACATGTAAAATAAGTTCAAGAAAACTATTTGTTAAATCATTATCATTGGTTTGTTGTTGATGAAAACGACCACTTTTATCAATACATTGTAAAAGTTTAAGAAGTAATTGAGATTTTTCTTTTAATGATGGAACTAATTGTACATCACCACGCCATTTAAGCCAATCATATACAAGACGAATTATAGCTCGAACAAGAGTTATATCATGAGATTTTTCAATTAGACACTAAAAATATAATAATATACATAAGGTTATTTTGATTTATTTATTTTTAAAGTTAGTTACTCTAAATAGAAATGAACATGGTAAGGTTTTTTCGTACGTTGTATTTCATTGAAATAATATTTTCTTATGCTAATCTTTATCCATTCTACCCTATATTTTTTTCATCTTAATTCTAGTTTATGCTACAGACTAGAGGCACAGTATGATTGGTCTACAAGCTGTAGTTTCAGACACGAGAAGAGAATGTGAACAAAATATTGGTTGCGTTTGGAGGTGCAACGATGAAGTTCTGTGCTCATAAATCACGTAACGCTGATAGATATATCATTGAAGGGATATTGCTTTATCTTCATATACCTATTGTAGTTCTATGAATAATTTTCATATCAATATTAAACGTTTAATTATCTTCTTATAAGTATGTCTTTTTCTTGTCAACAGAAAAAGAGTTTATGTCCATCACATTCACATTTATCTAATATAATTTTGATGTACTTACTGGTAAAAAGTTATTCATAAACTGTTTACGAAGATCACTTGTTAACTGACCAATACGATATTTGAGTAATGTTAAACATTCAATGATATATTCTGTGAATGCTATTTTAATGAAAAGAAAAAAAAAAAGAATTGATAGATTAATAAGAGATTCATGACGTTATTTTTTTTTACCAGGATTATAATCAACGCCAGCACTTGTATGATCTTTAATTAATTTTTGTAATAATTTTGTAATATGTGGTGTTAATTTATCAACATATTTTGGTTGCTGTTTTTCAATTATTTTTAAATAACCAAAAGCAACAGGAAGTGTATGAATAGAAACAAATCCCGATGATGAAACATTTGCTGTATTAGCTCCAATCGTTGTTCTAGCACTGAAATAAATATTTTCTTTTTGTCAAACTTCTTAAAGATGAATTATAAATTTTTCAATTAAAAATGATTGAGAAAAGCCTATATTCATTCAATTCAAGAGTCATTATTTTTAATAATTTTATTCGTTTTTAGTTCGATTTACATTATTTTAATCTTTTCTTTTTCCTTGACTAAATTTAATGAATACATTGTGAAGTGTGAAGTTCGTTCTAGAAGCTATATATGATAATATCTGTATATATATTCAAATTACATATATATCTATCGTATTCATTTCTTTCAATAATAATTTTTACTGTGCTCATTGATCGATCGGACAATGGTCATGCATGAATGAACATAAAAATGTCCTAACTATGTCTGAACTCGTCAACACTTACTTTCTCTTTCTCTTTGTTTCTTCATTTATATTTTACCTATCCTTTTCAAAAACATCTTCATTCTATCTTTCCCTTACTGTACAATCGGTCATTCGTTATACTATTAATACAGGTAAACAATTCTTCATATAACAATAAAAAAGTAACACACAAAAAAAGATATATATATATAGATATATTTCTTTTTTCATTAGAATATCATTAGATTATTTCAATGTATACAACAAACATTCGTCCTCCAACATTTTATCATCATTATACAACTCAATTTTTTCCTGCAGCACCTGATGGTCAACCTCGTGTAGGTAAAGATGGTGGTAATAGTATGTTACTACCACGATCTCAATATGTATATTCATTTCGTTTATCGGGTTTAATACTTGGTAGTTTAATTTTATTTTTTACTATTATTTTATTATCAACGGAACTTGGAAGACTTTATAATGGTTCGAATAATTATGGTAGAAATGAATCAAATGTTTCATCGACATATTTAATCTATCCAGGAAATACAATTGGTATTAATGAAAAATTTCCAAATCGTAAATTAGAAAATCGTTGGATGTGGCCATGGTCAACAGCAACATTATTATTTAGTTTAATATTTATAACTGCTGGTATATTTGGTATAATAAGTGGTCTAAGAGAAAATTATACATTAATATTAACATTTTTTATATTTTCATTATTATCAATATGTTTATTAATATTTTTAATAGCAACATATTCAACAATAATATCTGGTTGGAAAAGTTATTATGGAACACGTAATGAAGATTTAATGACAAAATATACACGTATTGATAGAGATTTATCAATCGTTTGTTTATCAATGTGTTGTCCTTTATTTATTATTTTATTAATTAGTATGATTTTATCTGGTATAAGTATTGATTTATGTACAAGAAAAAATTTTTCGTAGAAGAAAATAATGCTAATAATTTAATTAGTCTATATAAACTACATTTTGGTCAATAAATCAATTTAGAACAAAAACAACAACAATAGCAAACATTTTATAGTCTAGCTTTTTGCTTTTGCCTTTTTTTTCGCTATGTCTTCTTTTTTTTTTTTTGATTTTTCTGATTTTGTAGAGAATAAATTAATGCTTACCTATCTGTTGTGTTAACAATTGATGTTGGTGTACTATTCATATTATCAATAATTGTTTTTGTTATAATCGTATAAAACTGTTCAATATCTTCACTTTTACTTATTGTATGTGTTGATATTGGTACATTATTTGTTAAAATTGATTGTTGATTATTTGTTGTTGCTGTTGCTAATGAAGCTAATGTTGCTTGTACAAGTTGTGGTGATAAACCTTGTTGAGTATTTGTTGCTGTTGTTGGAATAATAGCTGCTGGTGGTTCAATAGGAATTTGAATAATAAGTTTGCTAAAGAGATTTTGCATTGACTCAACTAAACGTGGATAATTGGTTATTGATACACATGTTATTAAAGAACGTTTTAATGTACGCATTGTATATTTTATTTGTATAACAGTAAATGTTGATATAAGAAAGGCAAGAAGATCAATAGCAATGGCAATTGAATTGTGAGCTGTAATATTGGGTGATTCCTTCGAAAAGACAAAAAAAATGTAGATATTTGTAGCTAACTATTATTTTTCATTGACTGATATGTTCTAGGTTTTTAAGTATTTGAATTATTCTAGAGTTGAAACTTTTCTAGATTTTATCCTCATCGAATTGAACATTAATAATCGATAATTACGTTCAGTGACTACTGTTTGAAAATGAGTTTTCATGTATAAAAGTTTAAAAACATTAAAGAGACGCATTCTATTCATCAACTAAATCGAATCATCGAATATTGTGAAAAAGCAGTTGTTAGTTACATGTAACAAATAAACGCCGAATAAAGATGATATTAAACATTTCTCTCAATACTTCTATCAAAACGATATTACAGTAGACTGACCACATTCTGTACTTCTGACAGTAATGACACAAAAGTAAAAGATCACTAAAGTTTATGTTGATTGTGATCGTGCATTAGTATTGAACGATAAAGTCGAATTAACACTATGACATGAATTCACTACTATCTCGAAACATACTCATTATTATGATCTTGACTATATATATATCACGAACTCTCGTGATACTACAGTAAACATATGGAACTGTCATTACATATGCTTTTCACAAAGGAAAAGAATCATAACTTCACTACATGTGAACTAATGGAAGGCAGGTTAGTACTGCATGCATACACTCGCAACATCAGCTCAATATCATACAGAAATCGTAGCACTTTATCGAGAGTAGCTACTTTTGTCCAGAACTATAGGTAGTTGTCGTCCTTCTCTCTCCATCATAGTTTCAAATAACTGTGCATTAAACGATAAAATACTTGCAAGCATTCTTTTTCCACATATATCAATATTGAAAAAGAAAACAATCCAACAAAAATTCAATATACATATAACTTACAATTTGATGTATTAATCTTTCAAAAGTTGTTAATTTAACATCAACATTAGGCCATGCAAATTTTCTTGCAATTTTAAATAATCTAATACATTGTTGTGATAACGGTAACATATTTTGTAAATTAATTTGACATGCATGTCTAATAAGAAAATTAAATATTGTATCAATTAATGCTCGATTAAAATTTTTTTGATCATTTGTTTGTTCATGATGTTTTCGTAATTCCCATTTAATAATAACTTCAATAATATCAATAGCTAATTTTTTATGTTCCATTGAATTACTTTGTTGTGATGCTATTTTTTGTGCTGATTGTATCATTAAATTAGCTAATATATATCGAACATGAAAATAAATTGTTTGATGACGTACAATAATGGTCATAATATGCATTAATTGTAAATTGCCATGTGCATCATCGGAAAGAATTTTTTTCGTATATTCAGCTAATACATCATAACCATCGTCCATACGTATTGGTATAGCTGGTATTAATAAATCAGTTGCTTGTCGTATTAAATATTTTGCATCAATAATATATGATTTTAATAAACTTGTAAAAACATTTGTTATTATACGTTTAACAATAGGATATTTTGATATAATATAACAAAGTAATAAATGTGCTTGACATTTAAATGTTGAATCAATATTATTCATTGATAATGTTTCATATGCACATTCCATAACACGACGAAGTTTTTCATTATCACGTTTATTTGTTAGTGATGAATTTGTATCACATATTAATTGTGGTTTATATTCAAGAAATAAACATAAAAAACGTAATAAACATATACGATATTTATCATTGATTTGATGAAGATATTTTTTATCAATCATTGTTCGTATAAATAAATCAATAATTGTTTCATCACTATTTGAATTTATTTGAAATAATTCATTATTAATTTGTATTTTATTATTTTCAAATTCATATGTAAATGATGGTAATAAAATATATTCAAAAAATAATGATTTACATTCTAATGTATAAGATTCATCATTACGTAATGATATAAATGATAATAATGCATCACGTTTCCATTTTAATGAATAGGTTTTTATAATAATATCTTGTATAAAATGCAAGAATTTTTTTGGATAAAATAATTTTTCTATACATGTATATATACGTGTTAATTCAAGTAATAAACGTATACGTTCAGGTTGATATTGATAATAAATTAAACATAAATTAAGAACATTATTTAATTCTTTTGTACAAAATGAATCAAAATGTTCTGATGATAAAAATGAATGTTGTTGAAATGTATTTGAACGCCATAAACGTAATAATAATGAAACAAGTTCATGTTGTCTTGACCACCATAATTGATCTGTACGTGCTAATATTGATAATGAACGTATTGTAATACATATTATTGAAGGTATATTTTGTGTTGTTTCAATAAAAACAATATGATCACTAAGAATTTGTCGAAAACGATCAAGCCAATTTGTACGCACAAATGTTTGAATATTTGATGATGATGAACTTTTTAATAGATCAAGAAAAAGACGACTCCATTGTAAATCTTGTAAACGATTTTCATCATTAATAAATTGATCAAGACTTAATTGAGGATGACGAACTAATAATTCAATTAAATATTTACGACATGCACTACTTGACTAAAATAAAATAAAAAATTATTTAAATATGAGATCAATCATATTTTTTATTTAACAAAGTTGTTGTAAGATAAGTCAAGATATAGTATAGATTTGTTAAATCACAAAAAGTATGCTTTACTATTTTAAGGACTCCTTTAACAAACCGAATGATAACAGAGTTCTGGTTCATGTTAAAATGTAATGATGACCTACCATTACAATTTAGCAACATCTAATTTTTCAAAATTTTACCTATTTATTTCTAGTAAAATGCTCTATAAAAAAATCTTCAGATAACAGAGGCATTCTTATTGAAAAAATGTAATTAGTATTTTTCACGAAGTAAGCCAATGAAAGTGTGTGCATGTGGCTACGCACATATTAGCAACACAGAGACCTATGCGTAGTTATGCGATGAATTTGACCAGCATCCGACAATAAAATAATGTTATCTCGTGCATCTCATACGATTGAAAAATGTTTCGATGTGTTTCACCTAAACGGCTTTTAAATAAGTCAAACTTATCAGTGAAACTTTATGTAATGAAACCTATCACATCCAGCGAAGAAAGGCGTTTCAACTGATAAATCATTTTTGAAATAGGACTATATATATGTCTTTGAAAACCCTAATGAGCTATGAATATCCTGTAACAAGTTCGGTCATTCAACTTATGGATGTGGATTTACTGCATTGCTACGATATTTTTTATGTCAATACCGTGCTTCACTTCAAAAATACAAGGAAAGCTAACTTTTGAGTTTCGACTTGAACAATGAACAGATGTCGATGTATATGGACAATGTGTAATCTAAAAGTGTAGTATCAACATACGAAAAAACTAACGATCCGAATATGTTTTCAAGATACTTGTGTTCATTAGAGCCTATGTGATGCATTTAGTCTCAATTCAAAAGTCACATATTAGTTGAGAGACTTCTCTTATAAGTTTAAAAGACAACAAAGGTACTATTATATTTAAATTATTATCTTACTTCAATCATAAGATGTTTATCAAATTTTAAAATAAGAATAGTTAAAGATTCAATAATTTTTTTCGATGAACTTGGTAATATAGCTAATAGATCTAATAAAATTAAACAAGTTTTATAAAATTGATTTTGTGTATCAATAATTGAACGAAATGTTTGTGCAATATTTTGCATTAATCTTCGAATTAAATTAAGAATTTGTTCACAAAGACGTTCATCAAATGAATTAGGTGATAATTTTGATAAATAAAATAATGTTTGTGCTATTTGTGGTGTTAAATTTAATTTTTCATAATCATGAAATGGAATTTTTTGTATATATAAATCAACAAAACGTAAACGTAATTGTTCATTTTGATGACCATTAAATATTTTTTCAATTGATTCATATACAATTAATTGTAATTCATTTGATGGTATTGTTGTTAATATTTTATAAAATAATCTTAATACACGATCACGATATTCAATTTGTTCATAATATTCACCTAATGTACGTATAGATAATTTTTTTAATAATATTATATTTAATGTTAATTGTTGTTGTGTTAATGAACGATATGATGATGATTTAATTAAATCATTTTCATCAAATAAAAATGTTGTTAATTCTTTAAATAAATCATCATCATATAATGTAATATATGTTATTTTAGGTTCTAATGTACGAAAATAAATATATATATCTAAATATGTTATTTGATACATTAATGATTGATTTTTAAATGGTAATATATTTGATGATGAAAATTTTTTAATTAAATCATTTCGAAATGGTTCAATTAAACGTAATATTGTTTGTTGAAATAGAAAACTTAATTGACGTAAACAATCATAAATTAAATTACGTAC